TACGCAATTTCCATTTGTCTTAAATTAAGAAAATTGAAAGTTAAAATTTAAAGGTAAAATAACGATCCCCAAATTGCTCACCATAGATTGATTTGAAATCATCCTTAAAAAATATACAACATGTTAGATAAAAAAGGCAACAAAAATGATAAAATTAAAATGAATAAAAAGGATAAAATAAAAATGGTTTTTTTAAAAATCAAGCTCGGGGTTGCGTAGATCTAGGAAAAATAGATTCGAACGCCACCCCCTTTTCATCGGTCGTTCGGTTTTGGTTGCTTCCGAGCCAAATCTCACGCAAAATCAACATTCAAGGGCATCAAACGAATAAATCAAGGTAAAAACAAAACACTACCTTTTTATTTCTATCGGAACGGTACAAGAATGCTTCGATTTTACTACTTTTTATTGTGGTATATCTCTGGTATTTCGTATGTAACTCGTGTGTGAATTTCGTGGTAAACTCTCGTGTTATTTTCCTCTCCCTTATTAGTAGTGTGTTACATTTATTTATAATCTGTAAATGCCTATTTTTAGCTAGAGATTAGAGTCCCACTTAGACTAAAACGCCTCAATCTGACTTGGCTTGTTGTGTTTGTTGCTTTGTGGGTGTTGGTGCCATGAGAACGTCGCCGGGAAAGCCGGATTTATTGGTCGAGTAGCTGCCTGAGGCATGGAACAAGCGGGAAGCGGCGCTGAGAACACTAGGGTTATGCAAACCCTAGTTGTTGTTAGGTCTGGGCTACTTGGGTCACGTGGCTGTTGCAACCTTGGGCCACTGTCCCCACTTGTAAACACACTGGGCTTGTATTAAAAGGAAAACATGATATGTATTATACGCATGATTATATATAACATACGGTCTAACACCATTTTATCATGATTCTGTTATTTACGGCATTCTGACATCTATATATTTAACGGAAAGTATAAAATATAACCGGTTAATATATGATTAAAAAAAGAATATAATTAATTATAATAATTTTTTTTACTAAGTATGTATCTCTTCAAATAAATTATGTAGCATTTTAAGTTGAAATTGAAATATTATGTTATCTATAATAAGATATATTATACAAATCACATAATTATTCTAGTTGTAATATAAAAAGTTATTGTCAAAAATTTACTATGACATTTTCGGTTGTAACCGAAATTACTATTAATTATATAAATTTTTAGAGTAAACAAGAATAATATATTATATTAGAACTCACTATAATATAATATTCTTGATTATAATTAAAATTATAATTAATTATATTTTTAAAATAAATATAATAACATTTTAAATTAAAATTTGTTTCATCTTTAATTTTTAAATTTCTCTATTTCACAGCAGAACTACCACGCATCTTATATTATAGCGAAACGAGAGGATTAGGTTGAAACATAATTTAATTCACATGTAACATGTGAAACTCCAATTCGCTGCGAATGCTGGTACATCAACCAGTTTGATGGCACATTGGAAGCACACACAATATTAAATAAAGAAAAGTTCAATTACATTTCAATTTATCGAATTAGCTATTAATATTTTTATTTCTATTTATCGAATATATTTTCTTCTTTCCAGCAAATGAATTGAAATTCAAAAAAAAAACAGAAAATGATTATGGGTCAAAAGTTTTGGAAAAAATAATTAGAAAATAAAAGAAAACGTGGAAACATGGTTGGACCTACTCATCAGTACCTGTCAAATTATATGCTACACATTTAAATATCTTTAGTTTGATCCTCCAATCACATCACATTAAATCCACATCCATCACGAGAAAGAAGTGCAATACAAGCAAGCAATGACCCAACTAACATAAAACTAATTTCTTTTTTCAATTTTTAATATTTTAATTTCTTTAAAAAAATTATAAATTTACCATTTCTTTAAAAAAATTATAAATTTACAATTTCTTAAAAAACTATAAAAAAATTATCTAAAGAAAATTTTACGTTCGTCTCAACATATTCTTGACCCAACTAACATAAAACTAATTTCTTTTTTCAATTTTTAATATTTTAATTTCTTTAAAAAAATTATAAATTTACCATTTCTTTAAAAAAATTATAAATTTACAATTTCTTAAAAAACTATAAAAAAATTATCTAAAGAAAATTTTACGTTCGTCTCAACATATTTCTATAATCATTCTAATTTCATATCAAACATTCTAAAAATCAACGGTCTAATAATTAATTTTAATTATTTAAACATGAAAGAGGACAAAATAATTTAATATGTAATTGTTAATCAATGAAAAAAATAATACATTATAAGAATTTAAAAAATTATATTTTTAGATTGACTAATATATTATGTATTCATTTAAATTTTATTTATTTGTAAAGAGAAATGTTAATTAGTACATGTAATTTTGTTAAACGAATTTTTGTTCATAAAATATAATATTATTTTCGGGTATAGAAATATCATATTGCATAATAATATAATATTTTTTAGTTAACACCGTTTAAGAATAAAAGGGATAATTTCATTCTCATTCTTATATTTCTTAAATAATGTTACACTCTTATCAAAATATTAGTTTTAAACAATTATATATAATCAGAATTAAATTTAAATAAAATATTTTATTTATTTTTAAATTATATTCAAGCTGAATTGAACGAGTCATTTGACTCATGGGCATTTCTAATTTAGAAGAAAATTAGCTTGCTATATTAATAAATTTATTAATACAATTATCTGAAAATAAATATTTTCATAGAAATGTTCTATTATCTAAAAAACAAGAGGTTTACATTTTTTATTTTTAAATATTATTTATCATTAATAATCCTAAACCATTACCCGTAATCGTATAATGTTGCGAGATTAAATGGAATGGTGATAGCCTAAAATCTTTTATAACAACACCCCAGTAATATAACATTATTCAGATCAAACACATTCTATTTCTGGGGAAAAAATCTCACCAATAATGTATCTTACAATAATTCTATAAACCTAATAAATATTATAAAGTTGAATCATGATTTTCACATGTATCCCACTCTATTATTTTAGTTGGAGCCTATGCTAAACTATAGGATTAGTGACACCAAAAGAAGTACAATAAAATTTGTACTCTAATTTAACAAAGGTCGGTTCTCTTATCATCACCGTTAATATTATGTTCTAAATCATTAACACTATTAAAAGATTCCAATTGTCGGTTGATTTTTTATATATAAACTATAAGATTTAATTGCATCCCATGTCCTTAAAGTATGTCACTCATTATAAATTAGTCCCTAAACTTTAGATATTCTGATTTCATCCCTAAACTATGACTATCATTTTAAATTAGTCATCAACATTTCAAATATGACATTTATTCTAATTTGGTCCCACACTTTTTGAACATTCTAATTTCATCCCAAACTATATGTATATACTATTCACATCCCTTGCTAACCAAATTGTTAGGCCAAGTTATATTATTATATGTTTGAGAAAAAATTAGGTTAAACTATGGTTTAAACTAATTACATGTGTGGATGAATTTGGAGATGAAATCGGAATGTTCAAAAAGTTTGGGGACCAGTTTAGAATAAAGGTCATGGTTTATGGATGAAATTGAAATTCTCCAAAATTTGGGGACCAATTTAGAAATAGGGTCATAGTTTAGGGATGAAATCATAATATTCAAAATTTTAAGGACTAATTTAGAATGAGAGTCATAGTTTGTGGATGAAATTAGAATATTCAAAAGTTTAAGGAACAATTTAAAATGAAAGTTATAGTTTGGGAACATATGATGCAATTAACTCAAATTATAATTGTTGATATAATTAAAAATAACAATATAGTTGACTAAATATAAGTAAGAACTTCAATAAAAATTAAGGTTGTAAGTCTTATTAACCACTCCGTTTAATTTACAGAACAAAATACTTATGCTTTATCAATGTTAATAATTCCAGTGGATGCACAAAATCGATAAATAATAATTGTCATACTTACTGCAAATCTTTTTCTGGAGTCTTATATCTCCGATTTGTTACAACAATTTAAAATGATTAATAGCAATTTTACATAATTTATAATTTATTATCTGATAATAAATTTATTTAATTTGTCAATTTACGAGTAATTATCGTGATTTTACAATTAACGTCGATATTAAAAATCAGTATATAAATACACATGACAAGTAGAGAGATTATTATTCTTCATCTTCTTCCGTTACCAATTATTTTTCCTTTTTAGATTTTATAAATTATACGATCTTTTGTATGTAATTTTATTACGAATCATCGAATGTGACTTTTTGTTCAAACTAAATAGAGTGAATCACTAATAGTTAATATAACTTATTTGTTTCGGTAACACTCAAAGTCAATGCACAAACCCTCATCACAAGTAGAAAGGATACTTATTCTTATTCATCTGCTATTTTTATCTTTAAAACTTTATAAATCCATTTATTTAACCAACAATAATCAAATTATATTGGTATAACTTTTCATTCAAATTAAAATGTTTGACCATCAACAATTGATATAATCCATTTATTTAACCAACAATAATCAAATTATATTAGTTTAAACTAAATTCACAAATTGAATAATCAGACCAGTAGTAATTTTGCGGTTTAGTAGTTTAATTTAATACAATAATCAAACTAAAAAGTTATAAATATTTGTAATATTTTTTGTTGCAATTGAAAAATTATATTGTAAGAATTTAAATCTTACAACAACAAATATTACAAAGAAAGTAACTTTTTCAATTATAATATTGTTTAGTTAAAAAATTATTCTATTAAATCTAAAAAGTTATCATTTTCATAAAATTTTCAATTATAATCAAATTTTTTATTTTTTAAACATTATATTAACAAATTATATTTAAAATTTCTTCTATCTTACACTGTTTACTGTGCAACGTAGATCTGTTCCTTGAAAGGTGACACATATAGCATGTGGAAGTCGTGCCCCTATATTTTTAATATTATTTATAGCTCTCTCTACCTAGTCTTTCCCTTGCCGCGCCTCTTTATATTCAACTTTCTCCGCTTCTTCGCCTGTCATAAAATCTTTCTTCACGAAATTCAACCAAGAAAAAAGAAGAGGCTGTTTTCTCATTTCAAGTAAAGCAATATGTCGAAACCTAGCGTAGAGCTTGATTTCTTTGGCATGGAGAAAGAGAGCTCCTGCAAATCTCAGTTCCAGAAATTCCTCGATCGCCGTCGAAGCTTTCGAGGTACGTTTAAATCTACATATTTTGTTTCTTAGTGGATAAATCTTGAATGTTTTGAAAAGAAGATTGTGATTAATCTTTAATAGGTCTCCAAAGCGCCATTTCGAAGATGAATCCCGAGGTTATTAAATCAGTGATTGCCTCTGGTTTGACGAACCCGCTGAGTCAGGATCAGATTGACTCGAACAAGTCGTCTTCGGTCCCTTCGAGTCCTAAGGAACCTCAGTCTCTGTTTCCTGCATTACCTCTTGCCCCTGATGCCAGGTACTTAATTAGTTTCTTAATTTCAATATAAATTTGGTTTTTTCCACAACAAAGCGGTTTGAATTTTAAATTTCCGACGTGAAAAGTGTGTATCCTCTTTTATTCAGGGCTGCTTCTGAGAATGGTCCCGAAACAGCTCCTTTGACCATTTTCTACAATGGAACGGTTTCCGTTTTCAATGTACCTCGTGATAAGGTTTGTTTAACAATGATCATTTTCTGATATCCGTGAAAAAATAATTATCCGAGAAAATTAAATGAAAATTGTTTTATTGTTAATATCAATGGTATTAACCTGTCCACAAAATTTTGATTAGGTGGAGAGAATCTTAAAACACGCGGTTGAAGGAGTCTCAAAAAATTTTAAATCGATAGATTCAAAAGTCAGGACTCCAACAAGCGATCAACAACAGCTTCTTGAAACTCTTGAAGGAGGTCAGTGTCTGCTTAATTTCCTCCCTTTTTTGCATGTAGAACTTGCTAAACTCGTGTAAAAATTAAATATAATATTCATGCTAAGTAATGATTGTTTGGATTTTTACGCAGATCTTCCAATTGCTCGCAGAAAATCTTTGCAGAGATTTCTGGAAAAGCGCAAAGAGAGGTAAAAAAATGTTCCCGAGTTTTAACTTGTAGAGCTTAAATGCTGGATCACAAAATTACGAAATCTGGTTAAAAAAATAAATTATATATTTAGTCATATATCTATTAATGTAGTTTTATTCTGGTCACTTAATTATTCTTTTTAGATCATATCTAATGTTATTTTTGGTACCATATTAATCATATATTGTTAAAAGATTAACAAAAATCATCATCTTAATGGTTTTATCTATTGTTTTAACGTGAGTAATCAAAAGTAAATTAAAATGTAATATTAGATATAATTTTTTAAAAATATAATTAAATATGTAGAATTGATTTAAAATGTAACTGTTATATATAATTAAAATTAAGTTGGAAGAATAGATAAATAATTAAATACATAGTTTACCTTAAAATATACAATTGCTGGTTGAAATCATTATGTATTTTCAATCCATTAAAATAATAAGTTTATTTAATTTGTCTTCAGGTTGACTTGTGCATTCTCATATGATTGCTAGTTCAGTGCACCTTAAAATCCGTGTTTTGTTGACGTTGTTGGAGTTGATAGAGCCACTTTTAATCTAATTTTAGGTTTCTATAGTCATGTTGACAATGTCAAATAGTAATATTATTATATACGTAAAGAATGGCTAAATTAAGAGTCTAAATTAAGAGTCGATCTTTGAAGTTGAGAGGAGCACGTTTTTGGTGAGGGTGTGTTTTGGTATTTTCATTCGATGCCTGTAGGGATGGCAATGGGTCGGGTCGGGTCGGGTTTTTGGGCCACCCGACCCGAGAAGAAAGGGTTTTCACCCGTGACCCGACTCGACCCGACGAAATTAAGGTTTCACCAGACCCGACCCGAAATAATAATAAAAAAAATTTTATTCAATGAAAACAGTGATTTAATTAAAAAAAATTATATATGGAGGGACATTATTGTAATTATCCCTAAATATATAGGATAAAATTATATATATTTTTCGGGTCGGGTCGGATTTTTTTCACCCTAAACCCGACCCGACCCGAACAGTACATTTAAAAAAAACCTGACCCGACCCGAACCTAAACTTTTTTAAAAAAAATCTTACCCGATCAGGTCGAATCAGGTCGAAATCCGTCGAATTCGGGTTGAGTTGCCATCCCTAGATGCCTGTGCTTTCCTACCACTTTCCTATTGCTCATCTCGACGACGGTGTGGGCCTTTTGATGCCCTTTTTTAATTTTTAATCTCAAGTAACGATTTCTGCTGACTTTTCTTGGGTAACGAGTTTCATTCTTTACTTAATTAAATTAATTTTTTAGTGCTGTTGTTTATGTTTAAATTCTCTGTAAAAATTTGCAATTTTTGATCTATATAGATTTTTAATTTGATTTAAAGTGTTGATTTTTTTTAAAAAATTTATCCAAATTTAAATAAAAAAGTTAAAGACTGAAACCATAAAGAACTGGAAAGTTAACATAAAGAAGAATTATTTTCAAGAAAAAAAAGGGGAGTGAGTAAATTTTATTAAAATAATTATAAAAATAATATATTTTATATTTTATTATTATCTTTGAATAGAAGAATTGGTCTCTGCATTTATTCTGGCCCAATTTGAGTAAAAGGACTTTTATTAAATAATTAACCAATTGCCCATCTCTAATTGACCAAGCAATATTATCATAAGATGATGGCGATTTTTTTGCAATACCGAGCCAAAAAGTAGAACAATTAGAAACCGACCCTGGGCAAAGAACACCCATATTATATTTCTCGCGTAGCAATTTGTCCACAGTTTTTCTGACGAGAAAAGGAGGGCAGAATAAACTTTCCGAATTCTGATAGCTAATATTCCGAATACCCAGGCCACCACAGATCAAAGGCTGGCATCGAGTGTTACAATTGACTAGAGCAAGGCAAAGGTGAGAAGCATTCGAACCTCATAAGCGACAAACGATTTGCTTAGTTTTTTCACTGAAGTATAGAGGAAGCCTACAACTTGCATGACATAGGAAGAACTGCTTAGCAAATTTGATATAACCAAGGTGAGACGCCCGACAAAAGAAAAGATATGTATTTACCAAGTTTCTTCTGTATTTTTTTCAAGAATAAAATCAAAACGACAGTTACTAGCACCGGTACGTAAGGGTGCGTAGAAATATCTGATCCGAACAATCTAATCTGTTTATTAGATGATCTGAACTGAAAATTCGGATTTTAGATCCGATATTTTATATTGGATAATTTGGATTGGATATCTGATAAAAAAATTGGATAATCAGATTTAATAATGATTGGAAATTTCTTGATTTTGGATTGTCTAAATATCCGAAAATAAATGGGCCTTTAGCCTTAGGCCCAAGCTGCAGTCTCCTTTCACCAAACTATTATAAGTAATCAAACCCAAATTTTTTTAGGACATTTCTTCAACCCATTATGAGTAAGCAACTACAGCATTTCGTGCTAAATTTCCCTTTCCGTTGTAATTTTTATGTAATTTTGATAAAATGTTGATTGTACTTGTGGATTTGCAGGGGAAAGGAGTGGAACCAACCAACACAATCATGTAGTGGACGTGCGCAACCATTCCTTGGAATCAAATATCCAGCAGGCAGACCCATTGCTTGGGTTGTTGTGAAGAAGACCCTTAGTCGGATTAAGAAATCAGTGTATCTATTCTAGGTTATCGGACTCTCTCAGTATGGAAAAGACATTCATCCAGTCGTTTACCGAGGCCTTCACAACAGCACTGACTGCAGCTATTGATGCCTTCCGGGTTTACCGTATACTTGGAACCATATAACATGTGCAGCTCTTTTTAGTTAAAAACACAATGGAAGCTTCTTCAGCCATTTTTTTAGTTAAAAATGTTTTTAATTCTGTTTTAAGTAGTTAATTTGGTCACCCTCCCGATTCTTCTGGGTTTAGCTTGTCTAATCTGGATTGATTCGCGTCGCACATCTGACTTTGGTAGACGAGTCTCCTAACGTAATTTTTTTTTTTGCATACACAAGGCCTCAAACCCAATATCTACTTAAATAATACTAAGTTGATAACTACTTGAACTAATCCGTTGATTTAAAGTAGTTAATTCATATGATTATAGGAGTTTTGATTTAGAATTAGTAGCTAAACCAATAGAGAGAATTTCGGCCAAATCTAAATATATAAACCAAGTGTCCATCTACCCAGCCCGGGCCTCTGTACGCTTTGCACTGGTCAGTGTCCAATTTACTAGAAATATCATTTTTTTTATAATATATTAATTCATTCGAACCTTTCAAAATTCAATTAGATGGACAAGGTCTGTTTTAAAATTGTTTATTTATATTAGCATGTTTAAATTTATTTACTTTGTTATATATTATAAAATTTAACTGAAAATAAAAAAAAAAATCATTTTATATTATGTGAACATGTAGATGAATATTTTTGATGTAAATGTAATACAAGCATCGTTATAATTTAATTACAAGTAACGAACTACTCAACCTATGGATTCTTTTTTTGGACATTGCTGTGGCAGTTGGTTCTTGCCCGTCTTTGTTCATTAAATTTATTTACTTAGAACATTTATTGAAGATGATAATACAAAGATCTCAAAATATTTGAGTACATTATACTCGTCCATAAAGAAATATGATTGTAAATTATATTATTGGTCTGGTCGTATCAGAGTGAGTTTTAAATTCCTCTCATATAGTACAAAGAACAAACAATGATGGGAATTGGGAAGAGTCAAGGAGGAACGGACCCACCCAACAGGCGAGAGCCTCCCATGAAGGTCCGTTATGCACGCGCAGTCAGGCAAGTGGGGCCCGCGACAGCTCCCCCACTCGCACGTCCATGCAAAGGCGTGGAATTTTATGGCCCATACCTTCCGTTATTTGTTTGAATTCCAAGGAGGCGTAGCCCTTTCTTCTGCCTATCCACGGAATTAAATTAAATATTAAAATTATTTAATCTTAAAAATAAAAAATTTAAAATATATTTAATTTGATGAATATTTAATTTAAAAATAACATTATTGTAGCTGAAGATACTATTTTTTTCTCCATTTTCTATTATTATTATTTATTATTATTATTATTTTATATATTATTATTATTATATTTATTATTATTAAATAAATAATTATTATAATTACAAACAGGCCAAGTTCGGCCCAACCCAGACGAGCCCAGTTACAAGAGACCAAACCCAAACCCAGATGGCCCAATAGTAACCCTAAACCCATCTAGGGTTTATATCATCACCAGCAGCCGCCTCCACCTCAACCGTTGGATCTGGTAAGATCCAACGGTCCAGAAGCTTTCAGAGGAAACCCTAGGGTATCACAACCCTAGGGCCACGTCCCAGCCACCGCTGCTTCCAGAAGACCACAGCTATCGCCTCCAGATGTTTTTAGCCGCCCCACGTCGACGTTCCAGCTGCCGCCGCCCTCAAAGAAGCCTCCAGAAGTGCCACTGAGCCATCCACGTTGCTACCCTATGGTGAGTCACCACCATAGTTCGGTGACTCACTGAGGGCCATTCCATTACCCGGTTCGATGAACGTCTCGACAAGGCTATAAAGCCTCGGTTCGCCTGAAAACAGAGGAGGAGAGCAAGAACAGAGAAAAAAAAGGAAAAAAATAGAAAGCAAACCACAAAACAAAAAGAGAAGAGCGAAAGAAACTTACCGGGGAAGACAACACCTCGATCGGAGTCACCACCGGCCTCCAAGCTTCACTAAAAACCTTCGAAACCCGAAGGTATTTTCCTAGATTTGCTCCGATCGGGAGCTATTTAAGAGAAAGGAACACCGAAACTGTCATTAAGACGGTCCGATCTACGTTTTGGTATAAAAATAAAATTTTCCGGGCACCGGATGCGGTGGCCGTCGGTGAGGATTACGGCGGCAGACGGCTGCCAACCGATGACCGGCTTCCCTCTGGTGAGGGAAGCTAGAGAGAAGCGAGAGAGAATTCTCTTCTCCCTCAGTTAGAGAGAGAAGAGAAAGAAGAGAAATGGAAACGCTAGCCCTTCGGGCCAGCTGGAAGGGGAGTATATACCCCTTCCCAAACGATGTCATTTTGGGAAGGGGTATATCCGTAATTTCACTTTTGGCCAAACCCTTTCCACATCCATCTTAGTTTTGTAACATTCCATTTTAGTCACTGAAATCAAATTCTAAATGTTTTAATTTGGTCTTCTAATTTTGTTTACTTTATAATTTAATATCTAATATGTTTATATAAATATTTTAGATAAAAATACGGATTTAGTCCTTTAATTTTAATAATTAATATTTTAATCCCGAGTACATATTTTTAATTTATTTTAATCTTACATTCGAATTTAATATAATTTTATTATAGTCACCAAATTAATAAATGGATAAAATAACATGTTTAATCCTGTAATTTTAAATAATTAATTATGAATTAGGTATTTAATTCTATTAAGTTATAATTTAGTCACTAATTTCAATTTTTATAAGTTTTATTTATTTTAAATATATAGTTTTAATTTTGTTCATTATATGTTAATTTTATATGTTTACTTT